GATTTTTCATTATGTCATTTTATTTATATTAATCGATGTTCGAACGATTATTTAAGAAAAAAAAAAAAAAAGAAAAAAAAAAGCATAGTAAATGCGTATATCCCCATTCAAAAAAGAGATCGAACAAATGGGTATACAAATAGTCAAGACGAAAAGGAGGGAGAAAAAAGAAAGAAAGAAAGAAAAAGAAAAAGGACAAAAAAAAAAAAAGAAAAGCAGTAAAAAAAATACATCGGAAATTCGTCGATGTTGATTAGAATCTAGTTAAGTGACGAAAGATTTGTGGTCGGCAAAGTGAATTATAGTAAATTGAAATAATAGTTATAACAGTTGATTGAGAGTATCTTACACACGTATACACATATACATACATACATATATATATATATATATATGTATATGTATTAAGTATATACATGTGTATATGCACGTGTATAAATACATGCAAGTGTAAGCACATATTTATATATATATATATATATATATATATATGTAATGTTTGTGAGTAGATGGATGCTTATGCGTACTTCAGTAGTATGTATATGCATATATATGTTTGTTAGTACATGTATGTGTATGTATACATATATGTGTTTCTCTCGTTTGAGAGAGAAATGACGGAAACATAAGAGGAAGACAGAGAGAGATAGATAGACAGAGAAAGAGAGAGAGAGAGAAAGAGAGAGAGAGAGAGGGAGAGAGAGAGAGGATCTAATCGGTTGTACTTGAAGCTATCCTAATTGAATGCCAATCTCTAATTCCCTTGAAACGTCCTAGCAATCCGTTTCCAAAGCTCACAAGGAGGATTCTTATTGGTTAATTCCTTCCTATTCCTAATTGTAAGCTCTATCTCTCTGTATCTACTTCTCTATCTCTATCTCTCTCTCTCTTTCTCTTCCCCTTTCTATTTGTCTTTCTCTATCTACCTATATATATAGGTATGTATGTATGTGTGTGTGTGTGTGCATGTATATATTTGTCCTTTATCTGTTTAACTTATTAAGAGACGTTTCTCTCGAGGAAACTCTTGGCACTCTTGATGTCCGAGACATGTACTAACGATTATAATCAGTGATAATAATTAACTCGACCTTTCATAACGATATGCCATCGGCTATATAGATATTATGTGTATGTAAATATTCGTATAGTATAGAATGTATGTATGTATGTATGTAGGCATGTAAGGGTGAGTTCAAAAGGGTTACTAATTTTTTTTTCTTTTCTTTTTTTCTTCCTTGTTTTCTCTTAATTTTTTTTTTTTTTTTTTTTTTTTTTTTTTAATATACCTACAAGCACCTATATATAATACACGTTTATTTTAATATTTCTTCTTTTCCCCCCCTCTTACTACTTCTTTCTTTCTTTTTATATAATTTTTTTCTTTTTCTTTTTATATGTATGCATATATATACATATATATATATATATATATATATATATATACCATAGATATTTAAAAATTATCATAGTATAATAATAAATAAATAAATAAATAAATAAATAAATAAATAAATAAATAAATAATATCAAGATGTCTGCTTATATAATATAAATACACATACACAAGTATATAATAAGTACATGTATAATTTTCATTTTTTATTTTAACATATCCATATGAATGTATATGGATAATGGTGCTAAAGTCTTTTAGCTAGTCTTAGAATTAGAATTCCATCAAAATGAAAAAGAGAAAAAATAGAAATAGAAAGAGAAAGAGAAAGAAAGAGAGAGAGAGAGAGAGAGAAAGAGTGAGAAAGATATATATTGTATATATAGATGGATAGATAGATTCGTCTTGCAAGGATTCATACAAAAGTTGTCGAAATAGACAGGATCGTGAAGTTGTAGGGTGGAGGGAACGGGCGGGTGGGCTGTCGGGGAATGGGGAGGGGCGAATGTGCGTTTGAAGTTCATTACTCACACTGAAAACAATCTATCTGGGTCAATCGGGGGTGAGAACTAAAAGCTGACAATGGCGGTTTCACTTTGTTAAAGGGAAGTCACGTTGCGGAACGTCCATTTATACTTACACGGGATTATTATCTTTTTTTCTTTCTCTCTCTCTCTCTCTTTCTTTTATATACATAAACACACACATACACACACACACACACACACACACACACACACACACATATATATATATATATACATATATACAGGCACGCATGAAAATTCAAAAATTCACGCTTAACGAGAGTTTCATTAAGTATAAGGAGAATACGCGTAATTATATCGTACAATTAGTTCATTATTATTATTATTAATTATTTATCCTACTATTTTACTATTATTAATATTCAAAGATTTCGTTTATATTCTTTTATAAGGTGAACGAAAAAATTTAATGATAATATTCCAATGAAATTTTAATTCTCATCGTATGTCGCGTTTTGTATTATCGTATTATATATCGTAGAAATAATGTACACGTAAATATCACGTTAGTTATAACTATATATATATATATATATATATATATATATATATATAGGCTTTTAACGTTATCACGACGAAAAGATACTCGACTCGTTGATAATTTATTTTTCCTTTCTAGAAAACTTCAAGAAATGAAATATATATATGCATTTTTCGTGTTTTCCACTGTCTTCTTCCTTT